TTCTTCTACACAGTAGGGGTATGGAGACACCAGGATATATTGATAAGAGCACCAAACAGTATGGTATGCTGGAAAGAGCATCACAACAGTTTGAAGACTTGAATGCTGTTTGGATCATCTTAGGAAAGGCAATTATTTTCTCTTAACCTGTTAGTTTCCTTGCTGTTACTCATCTAAGAACTTCCCAGGCAAAAGGTACTCTGACCTAAGAGCATTGCTTGCCTCATGTCAGAGCTGTATGGCTCTTTATGGAGATGAACATATCTGACCATTGCCTGGTACCATTGAACATTCATTTATTTTACTCATTTCTAGTGTAATATTTCCAAAGCACTCTTATTACAAAGTCTTCCCACATGATGTGCTTATAGATGTGAATTTCCTTTCTCCAAAATTGTTATATTTCTCAATATAATTTGAACCATTGTCCTTTAAATGTTGTGAAAAAAATAAAGATTTCAGGTTTTTTTTTCTTTCTAAATTCTTGGTTGTAAAATGTCATGTTATTTTCCTTTAGTATGTCGGGTTTACAAGGCAATGCGACCTTCCTGTTTTTTGTTTTGTTTTGTTTTGTTTTCCATTTATAGTGTCTTTACTTTATTAGAAATGTGTAATCTCAAATGCTTGGGGTGTAATAAGGAATACGTACTAATTGAGATTTTTTAAATTGCAAAATAATAGGAAAGTTTATGGGTGAATGAACTTATTACCAGTGGCATTTTTAAAGAAAAACACTCTCACCTGCATTTCCAGGGGCAGAATGGTTCAGAAGAAAGTGAATTTCTCGAATTCCACTGACTTCTTTAACAAACGTTGATGAGCTTGGGTGTGTGAATAAGCAAGCCCAGTGCAGGTCTAGCTGAGTTGGCACGAGGTTAGGGAAAGGGGCTGTATCGACAGATGAATGAGATCACTTCTTCTCATCCATTCCAGGATAGTCAGAAGGGTTCAAAGAGGCTCAATGATGAGAGTTGCCTCTTATTCTGGGTCAGGACACACACTCATGCCTTCGTAACTATTTTTATTAATGTTTGTGTCTGCCTGATATGCTTTCTTCTTTTTATTCTAATGGAATATGCCTTCCTATCCACAAGGTGGGTCTATAACATAGGCTGGAACCATCGTATCATCCCATGACCCTGGTGTTCTGCATTTTTTGTTGCAATATCATACCCCTTAGCAGGAAATAGGCTGATAAAGCTGAGCAGTGTGAGGAGGCATAGCACACATGCACCTACTTCAGATCCGCTAAGGAGGATAAGAGGCAGAGAACAAGCTCTCAGAGGGCTGGGCTAAAAGCCACAGGAAACAGTGGATGAGGACATCAACCCAGGGATAAGATAGTGTTTTTTTAAGGTACCTTCATTTCTGCTGTAACATATGTATTCCTAAAATTTACTGCACTAGACAAATCATGCAGTAAGAAAGACAGGGTATATGGGAGAAATGGGGCTGGGGGCCCAACACTCAAAAACTGTCAGTGACATATTTTTAAAACATGGGAGCCCGATAGGAGCTTGCAGTGAGTCGAGATAGCACCACTGGGCAACAGAGTTAGACTCCGTCTCAAAAAAAAAAAAAAAAAAAAAGGTAATATCTTGATAAAAATGGCAGCACAGTTGTACCCATATTAAATGGTTAATTTTTAAAATCTATAGTAAATTTGGAACTTCATCTGGAGAAAAATTGAATTTCCTTGTATAACTGTGCATTGGAAGGGCTGCAACTTGTGCATTATTGTGAAGTGGCAGAAGAAAGGTTATTTGGAGTTGAATGGAAAGTTGTAACCAGAGAAGATAGGCTCAGCTTATCACACATGCATTGAAGCAAGCTAGCTGGTAGATGGTTGAAGTGTACCTATGCGTGTGTGTTTCTACATGTTTTCATCCAGGTGAATGCAGTTTTCTGTGTTCACCTAGTGGACAGTATTGTGCATAATCAAATTAGTGTTATGATCAACTTCTTGCCTAACATATCAATCACATTGAAACAGAGTTGCATTTCAGAAACAAGCATTATAGTAGAACAAACTATATTTCTAGAATACAGCCTATTTTTTCTCCAGTTACCTAAAGATATTTCATGGAAGCATATTAAAATAAAACCCATCCCACTTAATAATCTAACAAAAAAAATTGATTCTTCCCCACAAAATATATGCAGAAGACATAAAACTAATAAACCGAAGGCATATTCTGAGATCCATTTTTTTAGATTTGTTTTTGTTTTACTTTATTATTTTAAAAAATTCCAATAGATTTAAGGGTACAAGTGGTTTTTGGTCACAGGGGTAAATGGTATAGTGGGAATTCTGGGCTTCTGGTGTACCCATCACCCAAATAGTGTACATTGTACCCCATAGGTAATTTCTCACCCCTCACCCCCGTCATCATCCCCACTAGGGTTGAGAGCCAACTTCATATGGTTCTATGACATGCAGCTTGCTTTAGTAAAACCAGGATTAGGAGCACTTGCTGTATATGAGGCAGATCCAGCCAATCAATATTTATAATGCTGTTGTCATTGTGTATGTGTGTTTAAAATGTGTCTTTTCATTAAATTCCTTTTTTCTCTGAGGACAAATAAGTTAATCACACAACAGGAGTAGAAAAAAATCAATTGTCATTGATTTGGCATAGTCCAAATATTGCTGTCTGGCATAGTCCAGGTCAATTCAGCATTTCCCTCACAATTCTGATTTCCAATTTAATTAGAAAAAAATACTCTTTAGGGTGAACATTGCAAATATTAAATTTCAAATTGTTTTTATTGTTTGTGACTTTATTTTTTCGTGTAGTACCCTTTGTGTGTGTTTGTGTGTGTGTGTATTATATATTTCTTTATGTGTATATATACATTTTATTTTATTTATATATATATATATTTCCTTAAATGATTTTTAAAAGTACAGATTTTATTTTCTTCATTCTGCTCTAGAAACTGGCAAGCTTGAATAACATGTTTAGGGGGAAAAAAGCAATTAGAGACTAAATGTAAAGATGCTCTAGACTCAAAAGGGGTTAGGTCCTAGTTCTTCACTCACTAACTTTGTGAGTTGAGGTGGTTATCTAACATTTTTGGACTCTAGTCAACCTGATGGATTGACTGGGTTCTCCACCAACACCTATAAAATGGCCTATCACTCATTCTCATCCTCCTTCCTCTCACACAACAGTTTTTAATCTTTAGTTCTCCACCAACACTATAAAATGGCCTATCACTCATACTCATCCTCCTTTCTCTCACACAATACTTTTTAATCTTTAAAAAGTTACATGTAGTCTGTGCAGAGAGAGGTAATATCATTACAAGAACTAGAGAGTTTATAGTAAATTTAAAAAAGAGTTAAGACAGGAAAAAAGAGATTAAATTTCTGACTGATTTATATTTTCTCCTAAATCTAAATAAGGAAAAGTACCAACAGACTCTTGACCTTTGAAGGGAGAGTGTGCCCTGTGACCACTTTCCTTATTCCTGTCCTCACACCCTGCCTTAAGTTCATGTTCTTTCTCCAACAATCCCTCCTTCTTAAATCTCTTTGATCTTGTCTTAAGCTTCTTTTCACTGCAAAGTTCTACTTTTCCCCACAACAGTGGTTCTAAGTCACTCACTCCATCATAATGCACCATGAGTCAAGCGGAATCAGGAACAGCACAAGACTTTAGCCCCACGGTCTCTAAGCTTTGCAGAAAACTAAGATGGAGTGGGGATAGTCAGCAGATGGTTGTGGGAAGGGGATTTGTTCTGTCCCATGAGCAAATAGTGGCACGGGTTCTCAAATCTAAATGTCTTTTAGTGCTACTCTCAGTGTGTGCTCTCCTAAGGAAGGATAACCATTTATATTTTTTTTCCCTGGGGGAAGCATGGAAAAACCCATATGATAAGAAAATTTAGCAATATCTTTCCCACTGTTGTGCAGAAAAAATGGTTTTCTTTTTTTGGATTTTTCTTTTTTTTCCCCCCCTTTTTGGCAGGGGGAAAGTGACAAGGGGAGGAGGAAGGGTGCTGCAGGAACTGGAGACTTCGACAGCTGCTGTCTTTGTGGCTCTGGGAAGGGTTTCAGTTTTAATTACATTGTTAGAATTCAGAATCTTTTTCTCATAGAAAGCAAGGAGTTTGAATATGGTACTTTTAGCTACTTAAATGTAAGTTTGGTATAGTTATTAATTAAGACTACAACTATACAGTATTTTGCGGTCTGTAAATCCTGTTTTAGAATACATTCAAGGTTTTTGAGTGGTTAGAGAGATCTTTATGTTGTTCAGATTATACTTTTTCATCAATTTAGTGGCTATTACTGCATTTTAGGATAGAACATATTTAAATGCCAAATAAGGCTGTATATGGTTGAAAGTCTATGCAATATAAATATCTTAAGTAAAAATTAACAACCTTGTAATTTTTTTTCTATAATTATACCATTTGATTATTGGCTTCCAATTGGAAAATGTAAATTCTAATGACAAGAAGCATTATGAAAAGTACAGAGAAATATTTTATAATAATAAACAGTTCCACTCATCAGGTATCTATAACATATTCAATTTGTATGAACCTAATAACTTGAGCTTAAACTATAAGTCAAAATGTGACTGAACTAAGGGAAAAAAATGTACATCCAAATTCCTGTTGGAGATTTTGACACATTTGTCTCAGTTCCTGATGCAGTAAGCAAGGAAAAAAAAATGGAAAAGGGTTTTTTCAAATAGGAAAAAATAGCCAGGATTATGGTTAAATTTGGTGGTACAAGGGGACTTTTGGTATTCTAGTAATGTTGTATGTGTAGACATCAGTGATGATTACCAGAGCTATCACCAATTTGTGATAATTCATTGAGTTGTACCACTAAAATTGATGCTTTTTAATAGACGTTTTCATTTGATTAAAAATTAATCTTTCAAAACAGAGAAGCGTCACCTCCCAAATCCCCCTTCTCCTACCTACATTTTCTTAGATAGATACATGTATTTTGGGTTTTTTTTTGTATACTGTATAGGAAGAAACTAACATTCATTGACTGTATGCTGTACACCTAGAGGCATGAACTGCACCTTGTTTTCCTCTAGTCAAAAGTATTTGGACTCCAAATATAAATTTTGAAAGGGAAAGGAATCTGTACCTGTAATCATCTCCTCACATCTCAGTGTGAAAAATAATTTGGAGAAAAAAACAAAAGTTGGTGAGTAAATAGCATGTTTGTTCATAGAAACAAATAGAAAGTTAAGTAGCAAAATCACAACCTCAAAAGCTTTAGTAAAAATAAGAAATGTAATCTTCATTAGCCCATAAAGTAATCAAAATTAAATGTGAATTAAGATTTCTACAATTGGCAATAACAATTATTATAGCAATATAATGATTATATTATAATATTAGCTATTAAGAATATATTAACAAAATAAAAATGCAGCCACATATGATTAATACAGTGCATTGCATATAGTAAACGTTCAAATATTAACAATATAATAGATAATATATTTGAACATTTATTATGCATCATGCACTGTGTTAATCATACGTGGGTGCATAATAATATTACCACAGACTTAGAGGCTTAAAAAAGCAAACATGTATTATCTCAGTTTCTGGGGATCAGACTCTAGGCATAGCTTAACTGGATTTTTTGCTTCAGGGTCTCCCAAAGCCATAATCAAGGTGTCAGCTGGGATTGCAGTCTCATCTGAGGATCAACTGGGGAAGAATTTGCTTCCAAGCTCATATGGTTTTTGGCATTGTTCAGTTCCTCATAGGCTGCCAAAAGGAGGACCTTAGTTTCTTGCTGGCTACTGGCTAGATGCCATCCTTAGTTGCCATGTGGGCTTCCCCAACATGGCTGCTTGCTTCCTCAAGGGCAGCAAAAGAGAGAGAGAGAGTCTCCTCCCAAGATGGATATTATGATCTCATGCAATGTAATCATTTATATGTAATCGCATGTACTTCATTGCCTCGACTAGCCAGAGGCAAGACATAGGCCCTACCTATACTAAATGGAAATACATGATACAAAGCCATGAATACCTTGTTAGGGATTATGAGGGCTACATTGGAGTCTGTCCTTCACATGCACAATACACATTTACATGGTTTATCTCATATATTGCCCACAATAGTTCTAGGAGGTAAGTACCAAAAATGCTTCTATTTTACAGATGAGAAACTCTGGTCACAGAAAGGTTAAATTACTTGTTCATTAATATATACTGGATTGTGTTTCAAGGCGGGACATGTAGAAATTGAGGTTATTTGCCTTTATTGGGTTATGGCTTATTATTTTATAATTAATAAAAATGTTATAAAGAAGCAGATTGCAAAAAAGTAAAAATATTTTCCAGTATTATAGAAGAATCTACTTCAATGGATTATTAAAACACTTATTCCATATTATTCTTATGTATTTCAATAGGTAGCAAATCCCCTCTGGAGATTCAAAAAATATTGAACCTGAAATTACATTTTGTTAGGCTATTCCACTATGTTGATGAAAAGTACAGATTTCTAGTATTTTATTCATATGTTCATATTGGATGCTAGATTGCATATTTTAGTGATACTGTTCCACATATTGAAGATATATTTAAGCCCAGATATGGAACTTAATTAAAATTCTCATTAATCTGTTTCAGCATGATTTAGAAATATTTTTTTTATCACATTTCTAAAAGGAAAATAAGAGGAAGAGAAGGAGAGAACTGATGTGACCCTAAACATTGTTAGTAATTAGCTGCAGGTGAGCTTTAAAGTGATATGGTGCCACATGTTGGTCACAGGGTTCACAAGTGACTTCTTACCATGTTCAACACAAAGAGCAGCAGCATGATGAGGCTACCGAGGCCACTTGTGGGTCGGGCAGCTGCACCATGCCTCACTGTTTTAAAGCAATGTGGAACCCGACTCCCTCCCGTCTGAGGTAAACAGGAGCAAGGCTCTTCTCTATGACAGAGATCAGCCACCAGAGCAGACATTTTCCATACATTTCCCAAAGCATAGCCGTAGAGCACAACTTTCACACAATTTTAATAGGTGTTCCATAAAATAAAGGGTATTATAGTCAAATGTGTTTGGGGAATATGAGAATGAGTGTAATTCGTTAAGTTTTCACACAGGGTTTCCCTGGAGATTTATGCTGTCCTGTACTGTAATAAAAGGGGTGTACTATAAAAAAATTCCTATAGTTCTTCAATCATTGAATGTGGCCAGAGTTTTCCTCTAAACACAGTTGGGAGAAATGCTCCTGGAATTAGAACCCTTTTATTGTAGTAAGTAATATATATTTTATATAATTTTTAAACATTCATTTGAAAATTTACTAGACGTGTTTCTAGTGAAGAGATTTCAGAAAGTCACAGTGTTGAGTCAGCACTGACAATTGCACAGCATTTCATTAGTGACAATGAACATGATAAGAATAGTGATGATGATTATTAATATTAATCAAGAGTTTGTGATGGATACTGTCGTAGGAATTTACATAGGTTATCCCATGTGATCATTTTATAGATAGGAAACTGTGATTAAGAAACTTGTCAATATCACTTAACTAGTAAACCACAGAACCATGATTTAAATCCGCACTGCTTGAGTCCAGGCAGAGAAGCTCCAAAACTACCAGCCACATGTGGCTAATGGAACATCTTAAACCCTTTATTTTATGGAATATCTATTAAAAGATGTGACTGGTTTAAAGTGAGATATTCTGTGAGATTTTGAAGACCTCGTATTAAAAAAAAAAAAAAGCCCTAAGTATCCCATAAATAATTTTTTTTAGTTACATACTTTGGAAGCACTTTTTGTACTATTAGTAGCTTTGTTATCCAGCATGAGTTCTGTGAATCATAAAATAAATAGCATAAAGTGAGGCCTTAGAGGAGTAGATAACACCTGTTTCAAAACACTCAACCTTACCACAGCACAGCACACTTTTGTGGATGGTTTCTAGTAGTTCGGCCAAATAATCAACAGCAAAGAGTGGTGACCTCTGTCTCTAATGCTAGCTTTCACTGCATAAGAGTATCCAGTGGCACTCAGAGCATGCGGAAAATATATGTTGACAGGGCGCAGTAGAAGATTTTCTGTTTAAATATTTATAGTAAAATATTTCGTAAATAAGTAGCACTACAAAACGTCAGCTCTATGCCAGGCAGTGAATAATAAATTATGTGTCATAGAAACTAAATCTTGGATTGGTTAAATAATTTACTTAAGCATAAACAGCAAGTAAAAAATAGAGCAAGGATTTAAACCCAGGCAATTACACCCAGGAAAATCTTCATCCAGTGCTTCTGATCCCTGGTACTCATTAGAATCACCTGGATAACTTTGAAAATGTATAAATATTTTGGCCACATATGAGATTAATTAAATCACAATCCCAGGAATTGGGTCTCAGGCTTATTTATTCATTTATTTGTTGTTTTTCACCATTGTTTATATCTCCATGATCAAAATTACCCCAATCAGAACATAATTTATCTGAGGTCCACTGGATTCTAAACATCTGTTACCCCTCACCACCAGCCCCAGCGAAAGCCTTCTTTCTGTCAGAATAAGATGTGTAAACCATGATCCCAGCTGGCCTTCTTAAATCTACTCCCTGCCTTTTCAACTCCACCCACATAATTTTAAATTTATTTTATCCTTTCTTTTTTTCTCTTTGCTTTTTAAATTTCATTAGGTTTTTGGAGAACAGGTGGTGTTTGGTTACGTGAGCAAGTTCTTTAGTGGTGATTTCTGAGATTTTGGTGCACCCATCCCCTGAGCAGTGTACACTGTACCTAATGTGTTGTCTTTTATCCCTCACTCCCCTCCCATCCTTTCTCCTAAGTTTCCAAAGTCCATTGTATCATTCTTATGCCTCTGAGTCCTCATATCTTAGCTCCCACTTATGAGTGAGAACATATGACGTTTGGCTTTCCATTCCTGAGTTGCTTCATGGTCTTCAACTCCACCCAAGTTGCTGCAAATATCATTTTTTTCCTTTTTATGGCTGAGTAGCATTCCATGGTGTGTATATATATATATATATACACATTTTCTTTATCCACTTGTTGATTGATGGGCATTTGGGCTGATTCCATATTTTTGCAATTGTGAATTGTGCTGTTATAAACAGGCATGTGTAAATGACATTTTTTTCCTCTGGGTAGATACCCAGTAATGGGATTGCTGGATCAAATGGTAGATCTACTTTTAGTTCTTTAAGGAAGCACTATACTATTTTCCACAGTGGTTGTACTAGTTTACATTCCCACTAGCAGTATAAAAGTGTCCCTTTTCACCACATCCATGACAACATCTATTATGTTTTGATTTTTTGATTATGACCATCATTGCAGCAGTAAGGTGGCATCACACTGTGGTTTTGATTTGCATTTCCTGCAGGCATTTTTAAAGCACTCCAGAGGATACTAATGTGCAATGAGGATGGAAAAGCATGGCTTTATGCCATATATTGTCTCACTTATACCACAAAATTTTGGTACACCTCCAAATTCTCTTAGCTATGTTCCTTTTTCTCTGTTTTTTTCTTTTTTTCTTTTTTTCATGGTTAAGAAGGCATACAGATTACGTATTGAGGAACCATATTCATTCAGATAAAGCCACAGACACGAATTCTCATGGAAGCCTGTCAAACATAAACAGGTAATCCTTAAATGTGCTTTTCTCTTTTTTAAGCAGTATCTTTTTAGTTTTCATTAATTTGGTTTTACTTCCTTTGTGTTGCTTAAAAGAAAGATTTTATTTCTCCTGCAGTCTAAATTCATGCATGAAAATGTTTCTAGCTCCAGGGCTTATGTACTTTAATACATGATTTAATGCTTCAATAAATAGGCATTTAAACTGTTTAAATCATTTTGGGATTAAGTTCAACTTAATCATTTGTTCGAATGTCAGTATGAACTGCAGTTTTTGGACATCTGTAGGTGATTCATTTACTCCATTTCTGAGCATTAGATAACTGGAGTTTTCTGGCTTTCTGATCAGAGTTTTTGCATTGATCTTTTTCAGAAAGACTCTGGAATTATAACATGGAAATAATGAATTTCTGACTGCAATTGGTGTCCAAAAAGCTAAGAACCAAGTTTCCCTTAAGTAATTAGCTCCATATTCAAAAGAATTAAAGTGTATGTACCAGGTACGATTATAGGTACCTAAATGTTGTCTCATTTATTTCTCATAAATATTCTATTCACATTTGGCAAATGCTATGATTTCCATTGCAGTAAAATGGGTGAGAAGAAGGTCCCCTGGATGGTAAGTGACAGAGCTCAGATATTTGAACAAGGAAATTTGGCATATCATTGACTGAACTTTGTATATATATATATTAAATCCCTACTTTGAAATCTGTTTTAAGTATTTGGATCAGGATATATTTCACTCAGTAAACAGCCTAAGAAGATAACTTTTACTATATAAGGCATAAAGGAAGACTGTAGATTTAAAAATTACATTTTGGGAACTAAAATTATACATCCCCATTCTGGGAAGATAGTTCTCTTCCATCCCTAATAACTCTGAGACATAGCCATGATATAAAAGAATTTTGGGAACAAGTGTAAAAAGTCTGAAAGTACGTTTGAGGAAGTGCAATTTGGAGAGTTCAGGAGAATATAAATTTTCTGATATAAATTTTCTGATATTCAGGCATTGCCATGATTCAAATAATTACTTTTGATAACATAAAAATTATTACACAATACTAAATTTGACCATACTCATTTTTATTCATTATGACTATTTTACTACAAGGATGTAAAATTGCACTTAATAAACCTGAGTTATTCTGAAACTATTCTCTAATAGATAGAAAATTTTAAAATCTTTAAAAACGGATTTGGATCTTAATCTTCTATAGGAAAGGGAAAAGATAATTCATTTGTGAAGCCTGAGGACCCACCTTGCTCTTCTATCATAATTTTCCATAGTTAGTTTGAAAGGGTCTTGCACAAAATATGACTGAAACGTGAAGCAGCAATTTTAGTGTATCATTAAGACAAATTTCGCCAACCGAGTACCATTTGCAATAAAACAAGATTCAGTTTTGCCATTATGATTTCAAGGAGTATGAAGAAAGAAAAAGAAATGATGCAAGTTCAGTATAATCTGCCAAAGCATTTGTAAATAACACAGAGGAGATACAATCAGTAAAAATGCATGTATTTAAAGTTTTTAAAAGGAGAAGAGGAAATCAGGTCTACTTACCTGAACATCAGTTAAACCCCAATGAAGAAAGAAAGTTCTATCTGTACTCTCTGTATTAAAACCAACCTCACTTCTGCTGTCTGGTCGTGTTTTTCAATATCCAAATTTTAGGCTAGTCTTTAGTCCTGTTGTTTTTCTTGGTATTGCTATGAAAATGGAAAGATGATTTTGCTTTATGTGTAACCAGCAGATTTTAATGTTGATAAAAGCAGCTAGTTGCAATATTCATATAATAGTGATTTGTCAGTTTTTATGTATAATTTTTTCAAAAACCTATTCTCAAGTGTAGTATCAAACAAAAATGACAAGATACTAATCTACTAGCTCATCTTTGCTCACATGTCTGAGAAAGTGATGTGTACTAATTTTCTCTTTGTTCCAAGTGATGGTGGTTAAACTCTGATCAGTTCAAGCAAAATATAAAAATAAAGAAAACAGAAAAGAAATAAAGAAAGAAGGAAAGAAAGAAAAGAAAAGAAAAAAGAAAAAAAAGAGAGGGAGGGAGAGAAAGAGAATTTAATGGGTCGCACACACCTAAGAAGGGCCAAAGGTCATGCCATTGAAACGGGCCCAATTGTCCCATAGAACTGATATTTATGGGATTTTTTGAATCCCATAATCCCAAATTAACCTTCCTGATTTTAAAACTTGAAATGTACATCTGTCTCATCTGAGTTCCTACCTCAGGAAAACAAACTTCAGACAAAGAACTGAAACTTATCAGATCACCACATCCAGAAAATGAGATGTCAGACGTCTTATCCATCATGTTTGCTTCCTTACCCCCTCTAATTCCTGTTTTCCCTGCTCTAAAAACCTCCCAATTTTAGTAGGTTGGTGAGATGGATTTGAGACTGAATATCCCTTCTCTTGGCTGTAGCACCCTATTAAAGCCTTGTCTCAGTGATTGGAAGTCTTTGCAGTGAGCAGCAGGACCTAGTGAAGCTCTGGCATTTCGCTAACACCAGCAGCACTGCCTCTTTCCCTCCATCTCTCAGTCTTGCATTGAACTCTGTTGGCTTTCTTCTTGGGCAGGGTCTTTCTATGTGGTAGATGGCCACTGGCAGATCAAGGAATATAATGCTCCCATAGTGACCATACAGCTTTGTTTTCTCAGGATAGTACGGGGTTGTGCCCAATGTGTTAAACTATTAAAAGTTTCCCCTTTTCCTTTTAGAATTCTTCTGTTTACATGATAAATTAGGTGGTTATCCTGCCTGATAGCTGGTGCAGCCACCATGTTAGGATACATAAACACAACTTCAGTTTTGTGTCCCCACAGATCTTTACCATTTACTCAGCAAGGGTAGTCTCTTCTTCCCTTGTGTGGCGGTCTATTCATGCTGCTTTGGCAAACCTGCACATACTAGGTAACTTACAGACAATGGGAATTGATTTCTCACAGTTGTGATGGCTGTGAAGTCCAAGACCAACGCACTGGCAGATGTGGTATCTGGTGGGGACCCAGTGTCCCTTCCAAAATGGTGCCTTGTTGCCACATCCTCCAGAGGGGGTGAGCTCTACCTTCACATGGCAGAAGGGACAAAGCGGGAGGAGGATGAATACCGTGTTCCCATTGTGGGAAAGAAAAAAGGGACTAAGCTAGTTCCCTCCAGCCCTTTTTATCACATAATCACTTCCTAGAAGGCCCCACTTCTTAATACCACCAGAAGAGAAATTAAGTTTTAACACATGCATTTTGGAGAGGACACATTCAAACCATAAGATTCTGACACTGGTTCCCCAAATTCATATCCTTCTCACATACAAACTGCATTCATTCCATCCCAATAGTTCCAAAATCTTAACTCATTCCAGCATCCACTCAAAAGTGTTAAGTCCATGTTCTCACCTAAATGTCATCAAGTCAGAGATAGGTTAAACTCAAAGGTGTGTTTCACTCTGAGGCAAATTGCTCTTTAGCTGTTAATTTGTGAAATCAAACAGGTTATATGCTCCCCAAATACAAATGGCTAGGCAGAAACAGGACCCACACTTCCATTCTAAAAGAGAGAAATACGCCAGAAGAAAGGGTTAACAGATACCAAGTAAGTCCAAAACTCAACAAGGTCAACAACATTAACTTTTGAAGCTTGACAATAATATTTGACTCCATGTCCCACCTGTGGACACACTGGGGTGGAGGTTGGCCCCCCAGGCCCTGTGCAGTCCCAGAGCTCATGTTTCAGCTCTCACGCATTTAAGTCCCCTGCCTACAGTTTTCCCAGGCTGATGCAGCATGCTGGAGGCTCAATAGTTCTGGGAGTTCAGGCATAGCCCTGGTCCCATGGCTCCAATGGGCACTGCCCCAGTGGGGTGTCTTTGTGGTAGCCCCACCCCTGTGGTAGTTTTCTGCTGTGCTCTCTGAGGGATCCTTTGAAAGTTAGGTGAAGGCAGTCATGCCTCCCCAGCTTGTGCACCCTACACACCCATAGAGTTAGCACCACACGTATGCCATCAAAGTTTACAGCCTGTATCTTCCAGAGCAGCAGCCTTAGCCACACCTAGGTCTGCTTGAGCCACCACACCAAAAGCCCCTGCCTTTTATCACCACCACAGTGGGAGTTAAGTTTCACCATAAATTTTGGAGGGAACCTACCTTCAAACCATAGCACCTGGTTGGAAACTTACCTCGCATGGCATTTCTACTTACTCTGAAGTTATAAGCAGGTCTATGGTTCTGTGTAGTCACGAAACAGTCTAATTTTACTTATAAGAATACGTCTAGTCTAAGAATTTAGTTGCTTGCTTTAAAGTTTCTTCAAATATTATTCCTCCCCTCCTACCAAGCTAAGGCCAGAGGTTGGCAGCTGCCTACCTTTGAAATACTGTGAGGTTATCTGCTCTTGTTCCTCATTCACACCTTTCCTTGTATCTTAACTACTGTTTTAAAACCACCAAGATGAATGTCAGGGGAAGATGGAGCTATGTCAGTTTAACACCTCTCCTGGAAGAGGCAGTACCCAAAAAGTGTGAGTTTCAAGGCAGCAAAAAAGTGGCAGTAAATATTTATCTTGTTATCAGTTTAACTACATGTTTGTTCAAGATTATTTTAATTCTTTTAATTTTATTGAGACATTTTATTGCTTAGCATATGCACTAGCTTGACATATGTTTTATGTACTTCTGAAAATATGTACATGAAGTTATAAAGTAAATTTTTATATAAATGTCAATGAGGAGGAATTCGTTGATACTGCTGTTTAAGTCTTCTATAACATTTTGGTTTTCTGTCTACTTGTTCTGTAAGTACTGAGAGAAGAGGTTGAAATAGGTAACTATATTTGTGTATTTGTTTCTTTATCATTTTATTATTTGTTTTTTTCATATATTTTGAAAGTGATTTGAAGCATATGAAGTGTGTGTGCATTTAGAATTGTCAAATCTGGATAAGTAGAAACCTTCATCTTTATTAATGAAGTCCCCCTTTGTCTATGATAAAATTTCTTGTTCTGAAATCTGTGTTGTCTGATATTAGTTTTCATTAAACTTGGAAACCCTGCAGATATTTCTTCAAGTATTTTTGCTGTTTCTCCCTTTCCTCCTTTTGAAACTCCCATTGCCCAAATGTTAGACAACTTGATATTTCTTCACAGGTCACCGAGTAATTGTGTATAATTAGTCCTTTTTCGCCATATTCTTCATTTTTGCTAGTTTCTATTTCTTTATCTTTAAACTCACTATACTTCTTATTTCCTGCAAAGACCAATTTTCTGGTAATTTGATTTAGTGACATTTTTATTTTTTAGTACTGTATTTTTCATATCTCAAAGTTATCTTTTTCATACATGCCATTTTTTTCTCTTGATTATGAACATTAATGTTTCCAATGGCAATCCTGATAATATTCAACATAATTGGAATAGCTTTGTTAACGTTCTTGTGTGCTAATTCTATTATATCTTTATTTCTGTGTTTATGTCTGTTATCTGATATTTTCTTGAT